AGAGCCACATTTTTCCAACAGCCGCGAGAAGCTACAGTTTCAGGTCATCGAAGCACCAAAGACGGCCACAAAGCGGGAGATGACTTTTGGGGATGCTCAGCTGATACCCTGTACTGTGCCTGTCTTGTGAAGTCAACCGGATCAACGACGCAGGAGCTATAGACTACATGAACAGAAAAGCCATACTAAGTCTGGGACTGACGCTGCCATGGTTGTGTTGAACGAGAATTTTCTCAATCATAACTCCGACGACAGATCGACCTTCGACAAGCAATGGTCGTTAGCAGCACTCCGAAGCAGCGAAACTAAGGAGCATTAGCCACTCGCGTCGACCTTGCTGTTGACGAGAACTAACTAGCCTCATCGTCGCCATCATTGCTGCGGACATGATGATGATGACGATGTAGATGAAGAAGATCATGATGGTGAGCATCAATGTCACGTCCATCAGTATCGTCATCGTCATCGTATCGTCGCCATCGTTATCGTCAGCATCGCTGTCATCCATAGTGCCATCGTCGTCGTTCTATATGAGACGGGTCAAAGACGAACTATGTCAGTCATGATAAAGGGTTCCATGGAAGGTGTCGTAAGAAATGACCATGACAAGGGTAAGACAAGCAACATCAGCATGAAGGTGAGTGTAATGGTAATGAGTAGTTTTAACGCCATGCCGCCCGTTCGGCCGGGGGGGGGCAAGGCGGGGCACAAGGCGGGCAGCGCAGGGGAAAGGCCCAAAAGTGGGGGGGGGAGGACGGAAAAAGCAGTAATAAAGGGGGGCCGGGCGCGGGAGTGGAAATGAACGCAAAAAGTGGGGGTCGAAACTGTCACGCTGAACCCAAAAATACGCCTGCAAATGCGGCCTGGCAGACAGAAGCAGTAGCCAGTCGTCGTCCTCCTGGCAGCCGCTGCTGGTGCTGCTGCTGCTGCTCCTACCACTGCTACTACCACTACCGTTACTTGCCACGACCACTACCTGCTGCTGGTGCAGCTGCTACTACTACTGCGACTATTACTACTACAGTACTGCTACCGCCACTGCACTGGCACTGACACTGCCACTGCAGTTGCCACTGCAATTGCCACTGCCACTGCAGTTGCCACTGCAATTGCCACTGCCACTGCCACTGCCACCACTACCACCACCACCACCACCACCACCACCACCACCACCACCACCACCACCACTACCACTACCACTACCCCTACCCCTACCCCTACCCCTACCCCTACCCCTACCCCTACCCCTACCCCTACCCCTACGGCTACGGCTACTGCTACTGCTACTGCTACTGCTACTACTGCTGCTACTACTACTACTACTACCACTATTACTACTACTACTACTACTACTACTACTACTACTACTGCTACTACTGCTACTACTGCTACTACTGCTACTGCTTCTAGTGCTGCTACTGCTGCTACTACTATTGCCACTACTACGTCGGAGCGCCGACCCGGTGTGTCACGTTGCTCAACCAGTTCCTTCGGAATGCTGCTTAGAACCCCAGACTTCTTGGGGAATGACCTCGCACCCTAAAACCTGCTGTGTTACTACAGGATCCAGGGAAAATGATCACGCCGAGACTAGGGAGGATCGTAATCAGAATCACGGTCTTAATCATCAAAGCAGCACTGGGAACAGCAGCAAAGGTAACCGTAAAAGTCGTAAAAGATAGCGAAAGACGGTCGAGCCAATGTTCGGACACGATCCTTCACAAAGGTAAGATTGATCGATCGAAGCGCGAAGCAGAAGTGCATCTTGGATCATCTTGGAGTCGATTATTGCTGACAGTGGACTGGCAGAAGTCGAGGAGACATGCATAGCAAGTTCTGCTTTACAAAGGAACTGTCCCACCACAGCTCCTCCGGAAGGGAAGTCTGGGACATCAGCACGTTGGACTGCTGGCGCGACCGTTCCTTTTTTGGAATTGCCCTGCAAGTTTGCAGCTGCATTTGCCCATCAATATAACTCAACCTCCGATGTTTTCCTCTGCTGCTGCCGATACTCTCTAGACCGGCCAAGCATGTTTCAATGGTGCATCATGTACAAGAAAGTCTGACTTGGACGTTCAGGTTGCTAGGACAGTGCCCCCAAAATGGCAGAACCTGTGCCGTAGGCTCAGCCTAGAGAAGAAGCTCCCCCGCTGACCCGACTCGAAGGGCAAATGAATACTGTTACAGAGTAATGACAGTCGTAACAAAACAAGCGTTCAAGCATACTCGTAGCCTGTGCCGGCATATTTTAGACCGACCTAGACCGACCCGGCTGCGGCCGAGGCTCTTTTGGCGTTCCTCGCGAGCATCTGACCATGTCTGACCACCTGCACGTTTCACTGATGCCGAAGATGTATCCAGCGAGATGTGACGCCCTGCCTGCGCGAAAAAGCTGCTTGCCATCTGCGGGGGAATTGATCCTTGTTGCCTTGTTGCAACCGTTTTGTGGAGGTACTCCGTCAAAATGCCAGTCCACATGGGATTCCGCCCCTTGTGGTGCCTTGTTTAGTTTCATGGAGCATGGTTGTCATGGAGTTGTTATTGTTATGCTCTATATCATGATGCAGTGGGAGATTGCAGAGCGTTGCAAGGAGCTGGACTTTATGGAGTTCCATTGTGCAGACGCAGTAGCAACATGGTCGCACTTAATCCACTGGATGCAGACCTAGCTGCCCTAGCTGAAGGCGGTGCTTCCAAGCGGTGGTGTGCAACTGTATTGACATGTCGTTCGTGCTTTGTTTGCCTAAGGCAAGATGTGAGCGCGTGTCGGGCTCCGCACCTGCTTCCTCAAGCCATGTGCATGCAGGCAACCGTGTTGTCGTAGTGCGAAGTACTCCCCGAGACACCGTAAAGGTCAATGCCGGGATCAGATCTCCGTGGGGTGCAGCTGGAGCTCTCGCTAGCTAAGCTGAGCTTGGCGAGTGTATGAGTTGGCTTTCGGGCAGTTGTGTATCGTTGGGCTTGTTTGGGCTTGTCTGCATCCTTTCAGCATAAGTCACTCTGAAAGGCAAGTGCTCCGTAACGCCCTTGCAAGTACATGACTTCCTTCGTCAATGCGCAGATGACCTCGATGGCGGCAGTGGTGCAACGGCTGCCTCTTTCTTTGAGGATGACTTTGAGGCCCTGAAGTGAAAGAGCTGAGGGCTGAGACGTATCAGCTGCTCCCAGCGAAGGCGCGCATGGCCAAGCTTCGTTCGAGCTGGGCAGAGGCCCGGCTCCGGAAATCCCTCGGTCGCGGGAGCAAACGGCGAACGCAGGATGACCCGTCTCCTTGCGTTCCGACACAGGCTCGGAAAGGCGGTGGCTTTCTGAGATGCCTTGGCACCGGCAAGCTGTTCTCAGGAGAACGCTGAGACGACATCAGCCGGATGGCAGGGCTTGCTGACAGATAACAGTAGCAAGCGGCTTGTCTTGAATTTTGTGTGTGCGGGAGGCATGTATCGGAAGTGGAACTGGACGAGCTGGGTCGTTTCTTGCAAACGCGAGCCTTGCTCTGTAAGATGTCCAGCAGAGTGGCAGTGTTCCTTCCACTTTTCCGTCCTCCGAGCTGTGCAGCAGAGGAACGCTGCCAATGGTTTCTTCGCACGAGCAGGCGAGCAGCTGTGAATGCTCTGAGGTCAGGCCTGAAATCACGTCAAGGCAGTCTTGGAGCAACCGTTGCCGCATGTACGCCGAATGTCATGTTGAGGCATACTCTGCAGTTGTCAGGAGCAAAACGGCTGTGCTTAAAAGATACTGTCGGTCCTCCAGTACGCGCATAACATGGACAAAGACACGCAGGGTGCAAAGGCCGACTGCGGTATCCCACAATATCCAGCCAAAATGCAATGACCAGATTAAACACGAGCGTAATCTCAGGACGCCTATGTCTTCCAAACTAGTCGTCTGAGCATGTGTCCTAACTTCCTTGCCCTCTTCACAGCTAAGTCATGTAGCAGCACAGAGAAGGGTGAAGGGCCGCTTGGCCAGGCTTAACAAGTAGATTGCAGTCCTCGTTTGCTGTCCATGGTCTCCGGTGGCATCACTGGCCCGGGGAGCCGTGGGACGCCTGGAAGAGGCATGGAAATTTCATAGAAGTGTCGCAGCCGCGACTTGAGCAGCCCTCGCGGACTTTGCTCAGGAGAGGGCCCTGCTAAAGCTGATGATGCCTCAAGGTAGGGGTTTTGCACGTTTTGGGGGTAGAGCTGTGTGTCAGTGCAAAGCCAGGTGGCCGGTTCTGGCCATACTTGCTGCGGGCACGCTGGTGACAGCGGTGCGTCACCTAAGTCGTGATGTCATCAGCTGTCTCGAGAAATGCAACCGTGCATGAAGAGGGCCGTGCTCGGGTTCCGCAGCCCCCCCCCCCCCCCCCCCCACACACACACCCACACACACCACCCACCCACGCACCCACGCACCCACGCACCCACCCACTCAGCCACCCAGCCACCCAGCCAGCCACCCAGGGCCAGCCAGCCAGCCACGCACGCACGCAAGCTTGCTTGCGTCTGCAGTCCTCTATCACTACTTCACTTGCACTGAGTCAATCTTGAATAGTTTCTGCCTGGTGATCATGGGGTCCCCCTCCACAAACGATATCAAACGATCGAAGTCCGTTTCAAGGTATCAGTCATTCATCATGTTTCTGAAGCCCATTGTCATGGGGATCACTCGAGCACTGCCGTGAGGTGCCCATAGTCCGCTGGTACATGCGGCGCCGAAAGACTGCTGCCTTTGAATATGGGCCAGTAGAGCTGTCTCAGATGACGCTGGCTGCAGCTAAGGAGATTTGCATGTGCCTATACACATGTGTCACATGGGTGGTTGTCAAAACTAGGGTACCTTTTGCGGTACCCTAAATAATAGGTGCCGTATTATAATAGGGACCCAAAAGGGACCATATTTTTGACAACCACCCACATGTACATTAATTTTTTCTACATACATATACAAGCACATACTATCTGTTTGTATACACATTTTCTGGCATTTCCTGGCATTCAGAGGTGTCCGCTGCTTAATTAACAGATGCAAGTTTCCCTGAGCGGTCTGTACGGTGCCGCTACGGGATGTGCCCAGAACTTCTCAGGGGCTCTGACCTCTGGCCTTTGCTTCTTTACAACGCAGGCCCAAGCCTCCCTGAGTACTGCGGGCAACAACGACAACGGGTTTCGGAGCACGGCAGAGTTCAAAAGTTCACCCCTACCACGATTCCACTCTGCTTCCCAGTTATCTGGCAGGATAAACAGTGAACTTTCCAGGGTCCCGTGCTCGTCCTCTTTGGTTTGGTTACCAGAGGACAGGTAGTCGTTGACGATGGCATGCCATTCAAGGCCTGCCGCTTGTCGGTGGAACTGCTGTCTTTTCAGGAGACTGTTGTCCCCCAGTAGCTCCTCCGCTTCCTGGCAGCACACTCTATCGCATCCTTCCCTGACAGAGCGGACAATGTGATCGAACTCCTGCTCGCTCCATTGTGCCAAATCCTTGTCGGCATTGATCTCCTCGACCTCGCTGATCAGGGTCTCAATGACTTGTCGGATCTCGTCAGGGTAGAGTGGCTGTTTCCGTAGCTCAGTGGAAACGACGTCATCGAGGTCATCGCCACCCTGGCCGTCCAGGATGGTCTCTGAAAGTCCCCGATAAAGAGCTCGTTGCCATTGGTTCCACTGTGCTTCCTCTGACTCCTTCAGAGGGCCGTCCACCCGGGTGGGCGCCGCTGGCGTGTAGTTGGCCGTCTCGTTCTGGCGCCGCTTGGTGCTTCCATAGCCAGGTGGGATCGTCTGTTGCGGCTTGTAGTCCCGGCGCAACACTCGGACACACTTGTTGGAGTAGCGGAGGTGATCCTCCAATCGGCCTATCGTCCAGAATTCCTTGTTGCAAGCCTTGCACCTGCTGCCATCAAGGAACTCCCGGTATTCGGCATGCCGACCATGGGTTTTGAAGAAGTGGACTCCCAACCCGGATCTTTTGGCAAACTTCTTCTGGCAGATAGGGCAACTCCATGTCTCCTTGGCAAGGAGGCTCGACGTTGGCGGGGCAATCGTCCTGTAGAGGCTCCACAAGCAAACCAGGACCGCCGATTCCTCCTGGAACACTATGAACTCCTCAGCATTCCGCTTTGCCACCCGACGCTTCACTCGGTCCGGCTGTTGTTTCAGTAGATGCCACCACTGTGGCCATGCGTGGTGACCTATTTCGGGCCAGCGCTCTGTATCGCCATGCACCATCCACCGTAGGTCAGCGCAAACCGTCGTACACCACGTCGCCTCATTCTGTAGCATAGCCCAGAGCAACGGGGGGCCCGACCGAACCATTGAGATCAATGCCGAAATCCTCGACCTCCGTGCAAAGTAGTCGAGTGGCCAGCATCCGGTTGCCCAGTGGGCAAGTGGCAATGGGATCTTGTAGAGGTTGTCGTCCGTAATTGTTCGGCAAAGGAGGCGACGGACTAGTCTGGAGAAGTTGTCGCACATGGTGTCCCAACTAGGTCCCTTCGGCACCCATATCTCCAGGTTGAAGTACGTGGAGACCACAGCACTGCGGAACAGAGAGACCCGAGTCTCAAGACCCAGGTCTCGGTTGTGCAGGAGCAAGTCCTTGGCACTGTCATAAGCTGCAGCAGCCATTGCTGTTCGAAAGCGCTGCTCCTGTCTGAGTGCCACTTGAGGGTCCAGCTGAGCACCTAGGTGCTTGTATACTGGGACCACATGAACACTTTCATCCAGGTCCGGGAGATGGATCATCGGCTTGCCACTCCCAAACACCTGCTTGCGCACCGCTGTCGCTCCGCGGCCACAAAGTCGTAATAACACACTTGTTTTGTTGCGCTTCAGGTTTGGGTCCAGACCGTGGGTTCGGAAGGCTGTGAGGACCACACTGGTGACACGACGAACACACAGGATGAGGCCCGGCGAGTCCTCCCCCTCCATCACATAGGCGGTATCATCTGCCCATGTGGTATCCCACATTGGTTCACATGGACCTTCAGGGTGGGTGGCAAAAGGGCCTCCCTCTTGGTCATGCGGTAAGGCCCCATTGATGTCTTCTCCGATCAAAATCTCGTGGACCCGGTGCAAGATTCGTGTGTACAAAAATGCGAACACACAATCCGCCCATGAAGCTCCCGGGCGGGATCCTGCAACTGAATGGCATAGATTGCCACCGTCCGTATATTTTGAGGCAAACCATGTGTAGCGATGGAAATCCTGCACTGCCGCCTGCACCGGCTCTGGAGTTCCAGCCTGGCGTAGCATGCCTCCATCTCGGATGAGGTCCCTCATTTCGGAGATGTCATTGCCATCCAACCCAAACTTGTAGAAGAGCTCCTCAACAGACCGGTCCTGTTGGAGATCTCCGACCACTAGATCCCGGACCAATCTGTAGTATGCGCTCCGCGTGTCAATGAATAGCACCGCAGCCGGCTTTTTCAACCTAGCACATCTCCTGAGGTGACTCGTGACATAAAGCGAGGGGAAGCTGATAGGCATACCTCGACGGGTTCCACAGTGCAGCGGGTGCAAGGAAGCATCGATCTCCCCGTCAACCTTCTGCCGCATTGCGCGGTGTAGGACTTTGGCCGGGAAGCTGGAGATATACAAACTCCTGTAGTTTTCCGCAAGGCACTTCTGGCCACTGTTCTTGTAGGACTCAAACAATACTCCTCCACGCCATTGTAGAGGTTGTCTGCCGACAATCAGTGTTTTGAGATAGAGTGCATGCATGAGCCGGGTGATCTCAGCAGGGCAGGCACACATCACATCACTGGGGATTTGATCCAAACCAGCAGCCTTACCAGGCTTCATCTCCCTCATGACTTTCTCCAAGTCCCGGGCTGATGGTAGAAGATGCCATTCCCAGTCGCCGCAGTTGGATTCTCTCCAGTCCGCCACTTCCGCGACAAAGTCTCTGGTTGTTTTGATGGTGCCCTCCTCCTGCGCTCCGAAGTAGTGCAACCAAATCTCATCTCTGTCTGCAGTACAGGTCGCCTCATTGCCCGTGGTCGGGCTGAGCAACTTCGGTAGTTCTCGGCAGTAGGGCTTCCTCGCCTTCGAACCAATTCCCGCTCTCTTGGCTCGCTGCATGATCGCTCCCACATTTTGGTGGCCCTCCGCAGCCACACTTCGTAGGAACTTATCCTTCGCCTTGGCAATACCAGCCTTAACACGGTGGGTTGCATAACGGATAGCCGCCGCGATCAGTTCATACAGTACGTGTCGCTTCCGCATCCACGGCCCAAGCTAAACACTGTACCTGTTTTCCATGCTCGCCACGCCTCAGGGAGGTTTCGATGGTGGTCAGCCCGGCGATAGCTGGTTCTGCCTCGGAGCCGGTTCTTTTGTTGGCGAAGCTCCCAGATCTCGTCCGGGATATAGGATGCATGGCAGCCGACCTTCTCAACCGCGAAGTTTTCCTTCAAGGTGTCCAGCAAATGTTCCTGTACACGTTGATAATGTTCATCAGGATGAGTGTCCCATGTCGGTTGCTCGAATCTCTTACAGGCAGCTGCCAGCAATTTTCTGCCTTCAGCAGATCGGATCTTATCACCATCAAACCTCAAACGTTGCAGCCTAGGTCGTTGTCGACCCTGTTCCAACTTACCAACCACCTCCAGGCAGATAGCTCTGTGATCATCATTGGGGCTGCCATTGTCCAAGGCTGCACTGACATAACTCTTGGTGGCATCGATCACCGCCTTGCCGCCAATGAACAGGTAGTCAATGCGGCTTTCCCCTCCTAGGGGGTGATGATATGTCCAAGGGCTGCCCTTATGTAGGGCCGAGAACATCGATGGTGCCCATACACCATTCTCCCATAGAAGGCGGGCACACATTTGTCCTGTACGGTCTGGTTCTTCGCACTCATAGTCTCCACTGACCTGCTGGTAGTCAGCCGGGATCTTTCCGTTTAAGTCCACACCACAAACCACGAGGTGGTACTTCTTCATCTGGGCCAGGACTCCACCAAACAGCTCGAGGAATTGGTCGCGTTCCTGTGGGCGCCCGGCGTGCGGGCAATGCGCTGAAACAAACCCTAGACAGATGCCATCGAGCGCGACTCGTAGTGCCAACATCCGTGGGGACTCGTGTACCACAGTAATGTTGGCCTCGTCAGGGGCGACACCTTGGTTGTTGCGCTCGATGAATCCACCTGGTTTGCGTAGCCAAACCGCCACTCCCCAATGGCGGCATCCATCGGTGGACAATCGGAGGTACCGGCGGCTGGAACAGATTCCGCCTGGTTGTTTGGTCTCCTGCAAGAAGACCAGACCATAGCCTTCTCGTTCACATTGTTCCTCAATGTAGCGGGCATGGTTGCCCAGGCCTTGTAAATTGAAAGAACAAGCAGAAAGCCTGAACTCCACATCACCTTTCACATCATGGACACCAACCGTAGGTATCAGCTGCTGTGGTGTGATCCTCGACCTCGGCAAAGGTTCATCACTCCAACTGATCCCCCCACGGTCCACAATGAGGGCCCCCGTCTTCATCGCCGAGAGCTGTAAACCGGCCCATGTGAGGTTAGTGCCCAGGAAGGCAGCTACCACATCTGCGGGGGGGGGTGGCAAACTGCTTGCTACCCTTCATGGCAGCCTTTGCAATGGAGTCAGCCAACTCGTTCCACTCGTAGCCGGAGTGGCCCTTGACGTGCTGGGTTTGTAGATTCACCCCAGGCAGTTCTTGCATCAGCAATTCCAGATCACGTGTCTGTGACCCCATGAAATTCATAGGATCCCATGTTCCAGTCGCAGCATGTCCAGCTGCCATACAGTCGATGTGGATGAAACTGGACAGATGCGGTATCACCGCTCGCATCTGAAGCACCCATAACATCGCCGTAGCCAAGGCCACCTGTTCTGCGTGTAGGGCTAGATGTTCTCCAGCTGTCCATCCCGACACTTCATTGCCCATCAGCTGTTCACCAAGTAAACCCAGGATAGCCACTGCCATTCCCATACGGAACAGCACCACCACCGCATAACCACTCTGCCGCAATGTTTCATTGGCAGATCCGTCGGTGTACAAGTGGAACTCCCCTTGTCCCTGGGCTGCATATGGCAACAAATCGGCCCAATGCACTGATTCCTTCACCGCTGCAGCCGCGTTGGGGTGCAACTGGGCCCTCCAGGCAGCACTGCATCCACTTCGGGTCCCACGGGCACAACATGGGCCAGAGTTGGCTCAATGTGTGCGGCCATGGAAGAGTGTTCTCAGTGAGGTCATACACCTGGAGGTTCTGGTGAAGCTCCTCGTGCAGGCTGATGGTTTGTGGTTGTCGCCCGTGCCTTCGGTTGTCTCTTCTCGGTGACCTGCTTCGATCTGGTGGCGCATTTACCGGGGTTGGTGGCGGTGGTCCATGTGGAGGTTCTCCCGGTTCTGGTGGCGGGGCGTCCGGGTCCGAGCTCGGTAGGTTGTTCATATCGTCCGAGCTATCGTCGTCACTATCCGACTCTTCACCTTGTTCACTTTGTCCTTCCTCGGATCTTGGGCTCGGCTCGGCAAGTTCAAGGTGAAATGTCAGGAGTTCGCCATCATGAACTCGGATGTGGTTATCCTCCCCCATTGGGTCTCCGCCTGTGACTACAAACTGCCACCCCTCCATGTTTGGGAACTGGATGTCTTCCAGGTAGGCATAAGGGTCGAAACTATCCCCATATATCGCCATCCATTGTGGAAAGAACGCCAGGCCGCGGAGGTCAAGGAAGGCCATGGTCACTCCAAGTCGAGGGGTGTTGGACTCCTCTACAATGGCAATAAGATTGTGCACCTGTTTGCCCCCATGGGCCAGGTGCTGGGGCACAGTCGCCGGAACCATAGCCCAGCTGTTCTCCTCAAGGCCAAGTTCTTCTATTCCCGCCTCAAGATGGAAGCCATCATCTTCCTCGCCATTGACCGGGACAATGATTTGCTCAGAGGCTCCCTGGTAAATACAATGCCTTCCAGGAAGTGGGCCAGGTTGGTCTGTGTCCGGTCGCCATCTTCTCTCATCCTGTAGTCTTTCATCGATGTCGCTTGCCCATTCACACGGGACTCCTCGAGGCAGCACTTGAACAGTGCCCCCCATGATAGGCTCGCGTCTATCAAGATCTCCCAGAGGCTGAAGCTGCCCAAATAGGAACACCTCCAGTTCAGCTACATCATCGAGGGACACCTGGTCCAGGATCATCCTCTTGGTAACCGGGGCCTCACAGTAGATGGCATAGGCCGTGCCTCCCGCTCTTGTACAGTCAAGGAGCAGGCAGAACTTGTGAACAGCCGATAGCCAGGGCGGGCTGGCAACATAGCACACGAAGTCCTCATTGATCTGCGGGTACACCGGGGTAAACTGGTTGATGTACTCCGGGATCCTCAGCGTGTTCCACTCGATCACATCATGGAGGCGGTCCATTGTTAGCGGAAAAGCCACCCCAACATCGATGGTTTCCGCCTCGTAGTACGGCGCTGCAACCCAGATTGAGATATGGATCGCTTGTCGCTGGGCCAGCTGGTTATTGGCCACTGGGGGTGGAGGTTGCGCCCAGTGGTCAGGGATCTCCGCTTGACCCGCAGAATGCTCCAAGGGCAAATCAAGTATCCATCGTTGCGTAGCTTGCTGCATCTGCTCCGCTCTGGTACTTTGACCTGCCATCCAAAGTTCAACATCCGTGGCAGGCGCAACCCGACCTCTTGTCGCCCGGCTTTGCTCTCCGCTAGTGGCCTGGGCCACTGTGAGCATCGCAAAGGCCAGCAGCAGGTTCCGCTGTCCATGCATCACTCTGCCGCGTGCAACTCGTCGAGGCTGGCATGTTTTCTTCATACCTCTTCGGTAGAGGTCAAGCAAACATACAGTCAAGAGAAGGGACATTGTCCTTCCCACTGGGACAACAGCCTCCCTTAGAGCCTCCATCATAGACCATCGATAGTCCCATACCAGATCATTCCAGAACTCAACGTAATCAAGCACATCATATGCCCTTTTCCATGTCATTCTGTCACTGGCCTCTTCAAAGGAACCACGCCCGGGGCTTGCATTGGGCCCTGCGTTCATATTAATGTCAAAATCGACAATGGTGGCAGACTGGCCGAAAAAGCTGCCCATACCATTGTGCATCCCAGTACTCCGCCTGGTAGTTCGATCATCATACTTCATATTCCTTGTCGGGTCGATCAGCCTGGGTTCGCGCACTTCGGCATCGCCGCCAGCATCGCCCTGCCTCTGCTCGAGGTAGCTCACGTCTCGCCAGTATTGTTGGTGGCATCTTCCTCGACCTTCTCTTCCTCGGAGGAGAGCACATCCAGTTCTTCCAGTGCACCCCGTCTTCGCTGTTCCAACTTTTCCGATAGCGAGGTCCCTCTCAGGGGTGTTGAGCTCGGAGTGCGGCCAACCTGCTTGACGGCCATCCTCGGTTGGCTGTGTCTGGATCGGTGGCTCGGTTCCGGAATGTTGGCACGGGTAGACGGAGACTTGATGTACGGGTCCGGTGGCCCAGTCCCAGCTCCACCACTGTAGGTGTTCGCCGGCTCGTCCTTGATCTCCACATCCATGTTTACCGGGCTGGTCCTCCGTCGTCGGCGATCGTCTTCCGGGGGTGTATGCTCTGGCAGCCTTGTGGTCCTCCTCGGCGGCGTGCTGATCATATCCTGCTTCTCGGCCAGAGCCGCAAGGAGCTTGGTCCTGGCATCCTTGCGAGAAGTCGAGGCCAGTTTCAAGGCTGCGTCCAGCAACCCAGACAAGCCCTGACTGTCCGGCTCCGGCGATCGTAGGAGCTTGTCCCATTCGTCCTCGGCCTCCATCTGTCCCGGATCTGGCTTGACCGGCTTGCTCTCCTCCTCGTTGGCAATGGCCGTCTGTAGCTCCACAAGGGCATCCGCAAGGGCCTCCCTTTGTTCCTGTCCTTCGCTTTCCAAGGCCGCTTGTCGCTCCTTGTACTTGTTCCTCTCCTTCACGAAGTTGGCCTTCATCTCCTCCTTGAAGGCAGCCCAACGCTGCTCCAGATCTTTCGAGTCCGCCTCGTTCTTGCGGATCTTGGTCTCGCACTTGCGGACCGTATTCACCTGGCGCTGCACTCCCTTCACCAAGCTTCCAGCCGCAGCCGCCGCCACTGTCCCAGCACTCTTGCTGGTAGAGCCGGATGCCAAAGCTCTGTCGTCTTGGGGCACCACAACTGTTTCCAAGGTTGGGTGCCGGGGTGCTTCTCGGTCTCCACGTTGTCGGTTCCACTTGTCCTCGGACCGATAACCATGCCACCCACCAGCATCGCCACCAGATCCTTTGGGCCATCGTCGCCATTCACCCTCACGGTGTCCCCGGCCCATCAACTCTCGGTAGCACAGCCTGGTGTGGTGTTGCTGTAGCAGCCTGACAGCTTTGTCAGGTCCAGGTTGGCCTCTGGCTCGAGCCGCCCAGATCGAGCGACGAGCACGAGCTCGCTTGAGTCGTTGCCTCCGATGCCACGGCGGTGAGGCAACTATTGCGGCTCAGGTTGGCGTGCCTACAAGGCACCTGGGGCTGTGGGCAATGCTAGCCCTCTCCTGGGCCGCTCGATCCCAAACCCTTTGTATACGCATATATATATATATATATATATGTATGTGTGTGTATGTGTGCATGTGTGTGTATACATATATGTATATACATATATACATATCTTTGTGTATACATATATCTATGTGTATACATGTACAAAGTAGTATCACATTTTATAGTACACCACTATTACAAGTAGTACGTCACATTCAACTATGTTACATTAGACTTAGAGTAGTAATATTACATGATACTCGTGTTAGTGCGTCATTGTTGCATTAGTATACTAATGCCACAAGGATTGACTCTGTACTATACTATAGTATATCATGCTATGTTATGTTAGATTCTGTCACATAATATTCGATTTGCTCATATATTATGTTGCATAATATTGCATTATACCATGTTGTGTTATTCTATGTCTTGGTCTGTTATTTATGTTAGCTTGCATTAGTTAAACTGTATCACGCCAAACTACATGTATTCACATGATATGTGCCTACGTGCGAAGACACAGCTCCATATTTGCATGTAGGTGCGGAGTTTCATATGGCCATGCGGAGGAACGCTCAAAGTATGCGTTGGATCCCGAGACATCGCCAAGAGACTCCTTGCTGGAAGGAGCTGCACCAGAAAGGAGATGTCTCGCTGCAGCAAAAGCGGACCAGCCTTGTCCCCGATGCGCTGTTGGACCTCGAGGCCATTCAAGTGGATCACCGTGTAGTATAGCACAGTATAGTACATTAGAGTACGGCATCGCAGCATAGTAGTCGTAGAAGAGTTGCACAGAAAAGTACCACCAGAGCTTGGCAGGAGCAGGCCGAAGAGATGGCCTCCTCCCTTGCACCTGGTGCTGAGGTAGATGTTCGTGCTAAGGCCTTCGCCGGTAGCTCATGTGGACTGCCATAGCACCGTTGAGTCTGATCAGAGTTCTGAAAACCTTTGAAAGGCCTTGCAGGCTGTTGGTGCACCACCATTCAAACGCCGCTTCGGCTGTTCACGGATCTTCAGCCTGCAACTTCGCTTCGGGCGTCCGTGTTCCTGTCAACTCAGGCTTTCTTCGAGAAAGACGAGTTCCAGATCTCGTGCGAAGCAAATGCCACACATTGCAGCTGAACATAGGTGCATTGCAACCATGGTATTGCAGTGAAGTGAGCATCTGCTCCTTGTATCGTTCCTCTCTTGCACCATTACAGTCCTCTGCTGTACCAATCGTGCTCATGTAACCTGCTACGGTACTGCTGCACTGCTGCCCTCGCACTTGTTCGTGCTCCAACTGTTTTTCTGCGGCAGTCCGTATCAATGTGTACACCATGTGTCTTGCTGCGCTGACTTGTGTTTCGAAGCTGCCTGTGGAGGCCTCTACTGCAACCAAGCTTGCAACCACTGCCACGTAGAGTCCTCGCCTCTTCGCAAGGAGATGATGTCTAAGGACGGCCTGGGGTCGAAAGCTCCGTTTGCAGTCCGGTTGTCGAACTCGGAGCTCTTCGGACCGCCTCGAAGGACGTGGTAGAACGCTGCCTTCTCCTACTCAGGAACTCCCCGACCGTCAAGGCCGGTGGCTTCAGAGGCCGGTTTGAACGGGGAAGCCCTGTGCTGCCGTGCAGGTTCTGGACATCACAGGTGGTGCGCCGGAGCTGAACCGAGGCTTCCGGCGCCTGGTCGAGGGAGCGGCACAGCTCCGGGACGGGGCTGAGCGTTAGCTGCTGCGATGACCCTTTACTCTGCTTGGGCCCCTCGCGGAGGAGACGGGAGAAAGACCAGATTTGCGCATCATTGACCGCTGCAACTTGACGGTCGGGGCTCAATCTGAGATGTCTCGCATGCTCGTGCTTGGGTGGCTTCGGCTCTGAGGTTCTACTGGAGCCTGGCCAAGAGTCTCTTCCAGCCTTTCTAGTCGACACTGGCGTGGACATCATTGCTTCTCTGCCAAGCTACGAGCCGGATCAAACAGACAGGCGCGCAAGGCAGCTGTAGCAGCGTTTCAACTCTAATTCAAGTAACGGAGCTTCGGCAGGGGCCATCATCCGAGCTTCAGTTCTTCGGGAGTTACGATCACGAAGCCGAAACAACCGTTCACAGACAAACCCAGTTGTGCAAGCATGATCTCGCTTAGGCAGAGGCAATAGCAATAGCAGTGGCGATAAAAGTAAGGAAGCCTGCGCGTCGGCCACAAAAGGCTGCATGAAGTGCGACAGTTGATCCGGAGGCAACGTGGGAGGAAAGTCTTCGAAAGGAGCATTCAGGCCTTTTTCTTGATCTGTGCGAGAGACCCGAGAGCTGCGTTGACACAAACTTGACTGCAGGGCCTTCGCATCTTGAACCAACATGGTTATGGCTCAGGCTGCTGGCCTAAAACCATTATGATACAATAATGTTCACCTGATTCGCCATGCTTTGAGCTCAAGTTTTCTGTTCGTGAACACAATGTTGACAGTTTACTTGCAGTCCCTGCTGAGATTGAGAGTACACCTCGTCCTGTATCATTCGGAATGAACGTCTCTTGATGGTTTGAAAGCAAGTATACCTTTGCACGCGTATACACACACACAAATACATGTTGTAGGTCGATGGCCATTTGCATATGTGCACTTGTCATGCATTTTACAATGTACATCCTGTCCCGTGCGAGGTGTGCTGCTGCGGTGATGTACCAGGATAATAGTCTGCGATAATAAATGAGGGTATCTGCCTTTGCTTTCGTGCTTGTGCGCGTGAACATTTGCTAGCCTTAGATTGCCGCAAACCAGCAGCAGTAGGGCGAAGCATTTCTTGTTGCTGGCAGAAGTCGCGATGGTGGATGCGAGCTGTAGAAGCTGCTGCCCAGTGAACGAATCAGTGCCAGACCCGGTACTGTACACTCGATGTCCTCCCAAGTCATATGGCTCGTGACGGCGATCATAGTTTGCTGGTTCTGTAGTGTTTCAGTTTGCATCTCCGGCTTAGTCTTCGAACTTCTTGCTACCTGCACAGTCGTGACGCTTGCAGTCTTGCCACTGCCGTTCATAGAATAGACATGATGCGTGATGCTAGCCTGTCGATCGACACATATTCACTGCTTGCGCCAGAGCGAGTAGCATGATACAGTTTGTTTTGCAATCGTGTTGATATTATTCGTGCAATGATCTCTTGACACCTGCACAGTATATAAACATATGTGTGTATATATGTCATATATGTACATGTATAGGCATAGTTAGAGGTATAGGTATGGGTGTAGGTGTAGGTTAAAGATGCAGATGCATGCTATGTATACACTGGTCGCTGCTCAGTCCGCATGTCTGTCTGTCTGTCTGTCTGCATGTATACTCTGACATGTTTGTGCAGAAGGGCGCACTGGCGTTCCTCGATACCGCTCGCGATGTTGCTTGTAAGGAAAGGAGGGGCGGCGCCTCGATCTCGTGTTCAATCCGCCAGGGCCATTTCTGCCGCCCAGGCAGCAACAGCCACTTGGTACCGGGTGCAGTCGATATCATGTGGGGTTTCGTTTTCACCGTGTCATGGTGAGCTACCGGTTGCAAGGTCTGAGGCCTGAGATTTCCAGAGTATGGGTCTGGACAGGGAAGGAAGGTCGTACTTGCTCGCTATGAGCGACCGTCTCTGAAGTTGGGTTAAAGCAGCCTGAATAAATTCGCAACTACAGACGTAGCCAGAGGCCCAACCACAGAACATTTTACATTCCTTCGCCCCCAAGCCATAGCTCGAAACCGGAAAAAGAATGCAGGCATGCGAAGCCCACTGAGGTTGGAGATGAAATACAAGACAGAGCTGGAGACTTCCTACGGCGTCAAGTTTGACAGCTTGCCGACCTTGTTCAGTGGGTCCTGCCGTGCACACCGAACATGAAGGGACGGGGATTTGCCCACGCATCCAAGGCCTGCTGACCATTGCCAACATGCCCATCAAGCGGTACTTCGACTATCTTCGGAAGAAAGGTCCGGATGGGTTGTGTGGCAGTCGCATCCTACGGAAGCTCTGCTTTCTGGCAGGTGCGCTGGAGGGCTACATGGACACTTGGCTTTGGGATTTGGGATTTGTTGTGGGCCCTCACGCATGATCCCGTCAGAATGTGCTTAACAATCAAACGACGAGCGGTCACGGTACTTTTCACGAAGATTCCTGGAGTAGGTATCAACAACGGGCCAGCTAGACTCGAGTCTGAACTCCTGCTTCATTCTGAGTCTGGGAAGGTACCACTGCCAAGCTATACTGGTCATGAGAAGTATTTGTCGAGGACTTGCTGGTCCGCAACTTCAATGAAGACACCGTCGGGGATCTCATGTGCACCAACACTGTCAATGTTGGCTGGGATGGGAAATTGCTCCTAAGTTGAATCTGGCACATTTCGTGGGGCGGCAGCAGTTTGAAGAGATCTGCTGCTGGAGGTATGACTGTGACTTCAACCAACAGCTGGAGTTGGGTCTCGGTGGTGGTCTGAGTGTATTCGACATAGAGAGCCTTGACGACCCCAAGTTGCAGCGAGCTGCCGGGGGCCCGGCCCAGCGACTCCTGCAGTGATTTCATTGGGTATTCCGTGCAACTGAGGGGATCCTGACCGCGGCTCACTGCTACGGTTGCACAGCAGCTCAGGGCTCAAGCTGACAGGGCGCGCTGCGCTAGGCGCTCGCTGATACGATCTGCGCTTCTTCGTGGCTGCTTTGGAGCCCTTCTTTTCCAGGAGACGATCGCATACTCCCGCCATACAAGTAACTCCAACAAGAACTTCCGGAGTCATCTTGGCAACGCATCACTTTGACAGCTCTCATCCCTGAAGGGGAGAGCTTCA